TTAGGATAGATATATAGTTACATTCTCTTAATGAATAGAGGGATTTGTTCTAATGGTGTTTGTAAATAGGATATCAAGTCCGCATCTTGCACAGCAATTAACCACTAGGAAGAATGTATGCAATGTGTTAATTATTGAAACTGTCCAACCAATTTGATTTAAAACTGTCTCACTGCTATTTGTTTCTCAATAAAATTATGGAAAAAAGAAAACAGAACACAGTCATGCACTCGCATGCCAATCAGATAAAATTTGTAGTATCTGTGTAAGTTCCTTGTTCCCTTCCTGAACAATCTGATATTCCTCAAAGTTAACTAATCACCAGATATCAACTACATACACCAATTATTGTGCCTTATTTATTCTAATGTGGACTCAATGCCCATATTCTTTTGCACATAGAACAGCTCAGTGGTAAGGAACCAGTAAATACTATAGCAGCAATCATGTTACATGCCAAACTCAGTCAGCTGCTGGCTTTGTAAATAAAGTTTTATTGAAACAACTAAAAAAAAGACATAATTATTTATTTCTGCAATTATTTATTTTTTTGCGGAATGGGGATTGAACTCAGGCCCTTGTACTTGCCAGGCAAGCACTTTTTCTACTGAGCTAAAAAATTTTTAAAGAATACAAATACAAAATAATACTAAACTTCATTGAATAAAGTAATATAAATTCAACAATGTTTGCTATATTGCATGATGTTATCTTCCAATTAGTTGTTCATATTACCAGATATAAACCTGCAAAATTGGTTTAAAAAACAAAATACAACAAAACCAAAAAAGTTTTAAGAAATTAAAAAGAAAAAATGAGAATAACAAGAAAAAAATTAAGCATTAAGTGCTCCTTTAAGACTAGCAGAAATTGGCAGTACAAACTAACCTTCAAATATACATGAGTATATCTTTCTCCCTCTTTCTTTTTTTCCTTTTCCTCATCCCAGTTTTTCCTTCCCATAAAATTTAAGGATAGCTTCAAAGTATTTCAAATAGAATTTATCACTAATAATTCTATTCATTAAAATACAACAGGTAATATTAATTATGTGGCTACATTTATTTTAAAAAGTCAGGTCCTGCAGTGTTTCTCAGCTGGATTGATCTCTCTGATTTTGGCAGTGAATGCAGGTTAATTTGATTGGCTGCCCCGAATTAGCTAGCTTACCTTAGGTGGAACTATGAGCTTACTATTTATTGTCTTGATTTGTAGGTTAGGTATTGATTAAAGTAATGCACTTAGGTGTGAAGCTGAAAAGATCAAAGCTGTAAAGATCAGAGTACAGGGTGAAGTATCAACTTGATTGATTTCTTTCTGCTGCACAGACATGCAATTATTGGTCACTGCACATCACCTTTTAAAATCAATCTTCTTTCATTTCTTTGGTGAATGAAACAGAATTATCAACACAAACTCAATAAATTGTGAATATTACTGAATATTTTAAAATTATGAAATTTGAAACTTTAAGAAAGCCTCTAGACACTGCTTGTCATTTCTTCCTACTCCCTTTTTACTTGTACTGATTTTGCAACCCAAACAAATGTATAAAGCTGAATAGTTGAATGTTACAGACTGTGAGATTAATATCTTTTGATACAACAGATGTTATTAGGTTTGCCTTGTACAAAGCCATTCATACTGCATGTTAAGCAAAAGACAGGTGGATTCTAAGTTATCTATTCATATCTTGTTTGCATAGAAACCATGCTGCCATACACATAGTAAGTATTCTACAGGTAAGTATTTAACCGCAAGAATGGCAACAATTTTTTTTAAGAGCCGTGGTTTTCAGAGTTTGCCAATATGGCATAAACACTCCCACATGATGGATTGTGAACTATAAAAATGACACAAATTAATTTATACAGGGAGGTGATGTAAGGGAGTGGCTGCATAGTACCTGCACGATGACAATCCAATGAGTCACAAGTGTAGACAACAGCAAATAAAGAAGAGCTGAACTTTGAGCGCTGGTATTCTTTAAAAACATATTTCAACTACAAGTGTATGCAACTCAATTGTTGCCTTTTTGAACTGCCCAGTCACCAAAATACTGAAGCTCTAGTAGTAATCAGGTGACAGCCTTTTATTTCTTTCTATTATGGCATAGTTTCCAAGCCCAAAGACTACCTAACTGCTCTAAACAGGATGAGATATAATAAAGATACCTTCCAATAATTATTTATAAAAGTTAATGAAATCATAAAACTGGATAATTCTTCCAATAGTCTCTATGAAATTAATTTAATTTCACTCTTCAATTTGTCTCCAACAGCAGCTACTAATGTCATTGTTATGAAAGTATTAGAATATTAGCCATGATTATTAATAAGTCATGTTATTACTTATTCCAAGTAATATATATCTTTGTTCTAACACTATGAGTATATCCTATTAATAACCAGAAATCTAGAAGTCACAAGTTTTAGGTTGATTTTCTGAATTCCCATTTACTGGAAAAAATTCTTTTAAACTTCAGTCCATCACATTATATACCTATTAAGTAATAGCAGAAATTACCAAAGAATGTAATTGTAATTTTAAAAGTAGTATCATAGCAGACTTGAATTTTAAAGAAACTGATTCCCGGGGAAAAATGATAATCTGGAAAATTCCCTCACACATTCCCTGACTTGCTCGCCATTTGAATGTAGGCTATAGAAGGTCAAACACAGGCAAACACATTCACTGGATGAAATCAGTCATTAATCAGATTGGATTTTCCTGATTGACTATGATTGGTGCAAAAACTAATAAACTATGCTACAGTGTCATATGAACAGAGCTTCAAAGTCATCCATAGTAGCTGATGGTATTTACTTCTTACCTGATAATTAAGAGGAAGGTAGGCATCAACTTATTCTTTAATGGAACCTTAGAGATTTAGACTTGAAATTCTGAGTACCTATTTATAAACCAGAACTCCAAAGTTTTCATGGAGTAAGGAGGACAGTGAAGCACAGAAGACTTGACTCTTGCCCAATGCCATGCAGTTAATTACGGACAGGGCAGGGTTGGAATGAATCTGGAGACTGCACTGTCCACCAACACTGAAAAGAATTAATTTCAGAGTAAACTGTTACCTCCTGGAGAACCCTCTTCATCTTTAGCAAAAGTGTCTTCACTGCCGTGCAGTCCTGTAACATCAGCCTGAATGGCAGAGAATCCAGGCCTCCATTTTCTTCCACACTCTGCAGGGACCAGTCTGCCGATGGACTGCTGGGCACACGGCGGACATGGGAACACCTGGATTCCTGGTCCACATCTCTTGTCAATTTCAACGAAAGGCTCCTAATAAGAAAAAAATTAATAGAAATTAAAACGCAGTATGCTTAGACTATTTTCTCCTAAGCTGTGGATCAATATCATTAGTAGGCAAGAAAAAAAATTGTTTGTGAATCTCCTGATTTCCTCCTATTCTCCTCTGAAAATAGACTTTTTGAGGAATTCTGAAATGGTTTAATTGTATATTTAATGGTAAGATTCAATTGCAATTAGTTTCTTAGAAGATGATCTTTCTCTAATTTGCATTTAATCTATTCATGGTACTTGACTCATTTGAAAATGATGAGACCCAATGAATATCAGTAGAAGACAAATTTTATAACTAATGTTTCTTATTGCATGCTTAAAATTAACCAGAATCAAAAGATTAAGAAGCAAAAATTAAGAGAAAAATTTGTTTGGTAATTATTCCTTTAAATAACTGAAGCTATCAATAACTCAGTGATTAAGAAAAGCATTTTACAAAGAATTTAATATAAAAAACTTCTTAAACAGGGGGTATAATTGGGAAATACATAACTCCATGATGCTATTAACATAAAAAGGAATCAAAATACAGTTTCCTCCACACAAAATGCCATGTTACAAGAAGGATCATATTGAGTTGAAAGCAACAGAGAAACAGATGGAAGAAAAAGTCTTTTATTCTATATATTTACAAAAGTGTTTGTCTTTCATCTACTGGAGACAACTTTAGACATTCAACAGGCCAGAGATGTCACCAGAAATACCTAGGGAACAAATTTTTGACCAGTTGTGTCTTCAGTAAGTTTCTCTGTGTATTACCTTTATTCATTCTGCTGCCTTAAGTCCTTTTCTCATTTCTTCTGGAAAAAAATTCTTATTCTTAGCTCCAGTGCTAGGCACTCACTTGGGCCACCCACATGACTCCTGCTTATGTGCACAATGCATGTGCTAATGAACACCTTCGTTTTTTCCCTTTGGCGATTCAATTTACAGGGCCATCCCTGGAAAACCCAGCATGCCCAAGGGTGAGAATCAAACACAAAGTGCTCACTCTCCTGAAACACTGCCCCTTCTAAACTAACAAAAAACAAAACAAAACAAAAAAAAAAAAAAAAGAATGACCATCTCCTGACAAGTGTAACATTTAAGCTTGTACAAAACTGCCTAAGGTGCTGCAGTTTTAAATAAATATTCTCTATAATTATTTGTATAGGTTATATGATTAGCAGAGGCCAGGTCTTACATGGTTCAAGTATATAAGGCAGTTTATCCTGAATTAATTTTTCATCTGTTTTTTAATTCATACAAAATTTATTCCCTTGCATTTTAGTATCATCATGTGTAAAATGAACTCCCTCACTACACCTTCCATTTGGACCCTCTCAAAGTGTGAATAAGTTAACACACATGCCAATATCCCTCAAGACACTGGGAGATTATGTGGTTTTTAAAAACAGATATAAAATCCAGGTAGTAGTAACTCTTACCACCCCAAAGGTGTATTTTCTATAGTAATTGTACAAAAATGTATTTTCATTAAGTTATTT